ACTCACACTCACCGATGGCCAGTGATGATGCATCCGTTCAGCCACCATGAGCAAACAAACAGTCATGGCATCCACTTACTTCACACTTACTGTTTTTTCTGTTGCCCTGCATGTTTCCCCCCCCTCTCTGCTGCCCGAGGACACTGTGAAGGAGCCTCGCCAGTAAAGCTGCATCACTGGCATTCTGATCATTCCACCTATTTTAACTCTTTCCAAGTGACCTCCTCCCTGCTTTCAAACAAACGACTAAACTGATGTTCACCTCCGCCGTGCAGGCTTCTGAGTACTGCTTGAATGCCATCCCACTGTGCATGCCGCGTGGATGGGTGACTGGAATATTTGTACAGTTAGTCACAGGTGAACCTCATTTTGAAATAGTTAAATGAATCACCTCTGCTTGACTCATGCTTTTTGTTTAATGTAAATGATGTCAGACGTGACAAACTCATGTACCTTGTACAAAAGTCATGTTGCAGATTGTTTGCATTAGACTTACACCAGGGAGTGTTTTATTTGAGTTTTAAACCCTTCAGACAAATCAGACAAATTAATTGTGAATAAGAAAGATTGGCTAAATCTGTCAAACTGTGATCATTGTTCACTCAAAAAGTTAATTTTGTAACTTTTTTGCATTACAATTATTCAGTTGACTTAAAATTAATTAAAATTTAAATTAATTAAATACACCAGGCCTCCGATTAACAATAGCTTTCATTATAGATTAATCTGCTGAGTATTTTCTTTATTAATTAAGTAATTAATTGGTCTATAAAACTGCGGCGGTGACGTCTTAAAATTATGTGTTTTGTCTGGCCCAGCAGTCCAGAAACAAGATATTTGATTTATTATAATATAAGTCAAAGAAAAAGCAGCAAATGCTCACAGTTTAGAAGCTGGAGGTTTCAGGATTTCAGCTTGAAATTATCAAAATAGTAGCCATAAATTTTCTCATAAATCATTGGGCTCTAAAATAAACTTTTATATCATACTGTACTGTACTCTTTTTGACATTGTACATTTTCCCTACTGCTACTGCTGCATTACTCCAGCCTAAACTGTATTGGGCTTTTTCATTCATCTTCTTTCAAGAGCGTGATCTTTCAATTTGAGAACATGACTCATTGATTTCACACTCAGATTTTGTACTGCTTTCCCTCAAAACTGTGCCATCACTCGCAAATAGCCCCTGCTTGCGCTCCGAATTGCTCTGCTTGTGATCAAACCGTGTGTATGCACATCAGATATATTGTTACTTGAATAGATTTCCTGCGTTACAAAATCTGAACGTGAAATCAGTGAGTCTTGCTCTTAAATTGAAAGACCACGCTCTTGAATAAAGAGGAAAAAGCATACAAGAGGATTTATGTATGAAAATTTTGCAGAGTTTGTGTCATATGAAAGTCAACTCCTAATGATTTTGTGATTACAAGCTGCACAGAGTTTAAATAATGCAGGTTATGGCAGGCAGGACGTTTACATTAGTGATGATTGCACATCACTGTATAGTAAACTCTTCCAATCCGAGGCAGCAGATGTATTGTATCGTGTTCAGACATCACCTTTTCAAAGGAAAACAAATTTACCCAAAGACCAGGTGTGATCAGGTAGAATACCTGAGGTTTACCTCAGCAGCACTGGGATGCTTTCTTGTAATTTATGTGTTTTTGTAAGTAGACCAGAGTTAAGCCATGTTTGTTACCACAGTTTTAAAGACATTCCTAGATTCTTGGATCTTAGAAAAAGCTCTAACAACAAAAAAAGGAAGAAGAAAAAGATCATGCCCATAAAAGCTGAAAGGGAAGGCTTGTTTTCTTGTGTCGCAGATGTCTTTTTAATCCATTTCCGTTGGCTATAAAGTTTCTGACTTGCATACATACCAGGTTGTCAGTGTCTGAAGGTCAGCCCTTCAGACGGCAGAATCTACAGCGTTCGTAGCTGAACTCCATCTTCCCACGTGTAGAAGCAGAGGGTGACCTTGTTGTACTTGGTCCTATTTTTCCATGAGTTCTGCCAAGATTTTAAAGCCATACCTCAGCACTTAAAGCACCATGTCATAAAGCTGCGGGCCACCAATAAAACCTCTTAATTGACATTTTAATTGAGGTACTTAGGTTAACTGTAGAAGCCACAATTTGCATTGTATAAAATAACATTGTCTCGTTCTTCCTCTCTGTCTCTCCCATCTATTACCTCTGTTTTATCCATCAGCTGATACGTCTTGGGAGTGATGCACTGGCTTCCCCTGGTTGCCATGGTGATTGCCTCGGCCCTGCCCTTCCCTCACAATCCTGTGTCCACGATTGCTGCCGCGACAACAGAGCCTGGCTTTGACAACCGCAGAGAGCACCGCCATGACCCGGCTGCTCGCCTCGCAGCTCCCCCCGTGGACTACAACTACCATGGAAATGCCTCAAAAACGGACTACAATGTGGCTGCTGCTCTTAGCCAACACACTAACAGACAAAACCTCCGGAACCATCAGGATTATATGAAATCCTCTGAAAATGAAGACACTTCCATGTTCAACGTGGAGAATCAATCAAATAGCAACTCAGGCAGCGATGACAAAAGCAGTGTCAGTTTGGATGTTCCCGCAGGAGGAACACTCAGGACCGAGGATATTTCCGAGGATAATTCTCTACCAAAGGACTACAAAGCTGACAGCAGCAGCAAGCAAGATTTCTCCAGTTTTGTGGACTTTTCCAAGAAGGACAGTCTTCAGGACTCTACAGGAAGACTGTTGGAGGTTCCTACAGCGGAAACCCATAATGCTGTCAGTCCTGCTGCTAATCTGAAGGGTCAAAGAGGACCAGAACCAATTGTTCCCTCGGACAAGCTGAGAAATGCACCTACAATTGGGACAGGAAGCCAGTGGACACCGGGGGATGGAAGAGGTCTGGTGGAGGAGAACTTGAGCCTGGAGGCAGGGCTGGGTCTGGGGACTGGGCTGGACAGTATTTTAGAAGGAGACGAAATGTTTTTGGACGCGCACCCACGAGTCCTGTTCTCACCCTCCCCGTCGCCTCCAGAACACCCCCCTCTCCTGCTCATGTTGGAGACTGGCCTGCTGGAGGAGGACAGGGACAGAGAGGAGCAGGAGGACTTGGACGGACACATCGAGGGTCATGGGGACCGGGCAATCGACAAGAGCACAACTCTGAATTGGGCAGACTCTCCCAGAATTACAGCGGATGTTGCCCGTGCTGTCAAAAGGGATAAACGCTCTCACCTGATTGACAGAAGGAGAGGGGAAAAGTCAGTGTGTGACTCGGAAAGTGTTTGGGTTATTGACAAGACGACCGCCATCGACTCCCACGGTCAGACGGTCACCATTTTACAGAATATCCAGACCCAGACAGGACCACTCAAACAGTACTTCTACGAGACTCGCTGCCGCCAAGCCGAGGAACGGACCAACACTAGCAGGTCAAAGGCCCCCCGCGCGGCAGCGAAATCTCCTGTGACTGGCGTTGCTGGGGCCGGGTGCTTGGGCGTGGATAAAAGACAGTGGGTGAGCGAATGCAAAGCCAAGCAGTCGTTCGTCCGAGCGCTCACCAAAGACGCAAACAACAGAACCGGATGGAGGTGGATTCGAATCGACTCGTCCTGCGTCTGTGTGCTGCTGTCCAGAGCAAATCAGGCAGTCGGTAGGGAGGTCTATACGAGGAAGGGGAGAGGCTGAGAGAGGAGGCGGGAGACAGAGAGAGAGTGAAAAAGAGAGATGGCAAGAAGTAGAAAGTGACACAGAGCAGAGCAGCTGTGACATCCTTCTGTGTGCACTTTCTCTTGCTGGTGGCGTTTCCTTCAACATGATGGATTTGGTTATTTCTGCCTTAGTCCAGTTTTTCAGATATCTCTCTCCTTTCCATCCCTCCCTCCACCACAACTTCAAATGACTTTTGAAAAAAACAACAAGACCTCAATACTAGATCTTAGGGAATATTGTCATATATAGAGATTTTACTTCAAAAAGTACTGTTTTTGTATGATTTATCTTTCATAATCTAAGTTATTTTTGATTAGTATGTAAGCATGTTTATGTCTTTGATATTAATATATTCCTTTATATATGTGTACAATATGACACCAGTATACCTTTATGTATGAAGCTATGTATATCTGTGTGTATTTATAGAAGAAGTCCTCATGGAGTGGTAGGTCTCTCCAGTGTCTGATGATAATTCCAGCCTCTGTTCCACTCAGGTTGTGAGAGGAAGGAGCGCCACCTACTGAGGCTCAATTTTACTGCTCCACAATGTTCCCGTATGGATTACCATTAATATTGTAACAGTGCTTTTAGCAACTGAGTCTGAGGGGGGAGGAGGGGGAAACGTATTGGATACGGAAATTACAGCATGGGCACACTTAAGCATGATTTCACTTAGGCTGATGATTTTGACAGTTTTGTGGCAGGATACATCTCCGCTGTGGAACTTGTTAAATGTGGTTCATGAATGTAAAACCATGTGGTTTGTAAATTATATGACACCTAAACAAGCAAATTTTACCATCTGCTGGTTTGTTCAGTTTGCCTGCGAAATGTGGTAATAAAGGATCTTTGTACTCAGCAAATTATTGTTACACAACTTAACTGATGTAAATATGGAATAATTCAATTCTCAAAACACTCTGTGGATTTATTTGGTAAAAAAATAAAGTTACAAGTAGTACATTTAAGGTGTTTTGCTGCTGTAATCTACCTGGAAGAAGCAGATTCCTCAAACTACAGCTTCATAAAACAGAGTATTCAGATCTGTGATGTAAAAGTAGCTATACTATAATGTAAAAATACTCCATTACAAGTAAAAGTCCGGCATATATTGTGTGTAAAATCTTAATCTGCAAAATTCTCAATGGAAAATCTATGTAGTGGAGTATAAAGTACAATATTAGCCTCATAAATGTGATGACGTAGAAGTACAGAGTTACAGTCAACCACTGAACACACATAGAGAAAGAGATATAAAACAAATCAATGGGAAAAAGATGAGTGGAGAAAGTTTGCGATGATCAGCAGATCCACCTGGATCGCTTTATTTATTTTTTTATTTTACATCACCATTTTCATTATCATCATTATTGTTTATTTTCCAGATGATATTTTCCATTTGTATTACTATCACTTTAATCATGGAAATCTGTTAAATCATTGCACAATTTGTTCTCAAAATGTACACATACAGTAGCGTATTTGAATGACCATTTTCAATGTTTCATATTTACTTTTAAAACTAGTTCAAATGAAGTCAAGAAGGAACAGAACATGTACATACGTTTATCCAATACATACCTAAAGAAAATAAATAGATATCGTAAAAAATAAAAAATACAACTGAAAAAAATACACACATTTTACAAATTGATCCCCAGGCTCCCACCCCCTGTAGGTTTATCATACAGATATATATTTTTTTTAAAGACACCTCATATCATCTTCACCACCAAAAAAAATGTTTTTAGGTCATTGTCGTTTGTTTGACATGCATCGTAAACACAGAGGCTAAAGGTTTTGTTTCCTGGGCTTCCTCGGGCTCGCCCTCTCTTCCTGCCTCTCTCTGATCTCACCCCCCAGAGAGCTCTTGGTTTCTGTTATGGCTTGTGTGTGCAGTAAAATGACCGGCTTCTGTCCACCCTTTTAGTTTTTTTCTTTCCTCCCTGTGAGTTGCTGTTTTGTCTCTCTGCCACCCTCTCACATCATCAGGATTACCCAAGACCCTGAGCTGATGATTACAAGTCATAAACCACACAGCGACATCGTGGAGGGCTAGTGAGGAGTCTGTCTGACCTCAGTGTCAAGGTCAAGCTTTCCTAAATATAAGCAACACTTTGTTGTAATAAGGCATACTTTACTAAGGGTTCACAATTCATTATCAGAGGCGTTTTCATGGTAATTATGTTTCAATTTGTAGAAATGCAGGAATAAGATACAAATAAGATCTTGTCATTCTGAATCCGTCTATTAACAACTTATTACAACATTTTAAATTTTACTCAGGGTAGATATACCTTTTATTACTTAAACTGCCTTTGGCTCATTACTAAGTCAGAAAACTTGACTTTTTACATGTGCCTCATATGTAGCTACAGGTCTGCAGTTATTGAAGGTAATGTGTGTGTTTGAAATGTCCATCGGTGGTGTCCTCCCAAAGAATAAGAATAAGAAGAACCATTCAAATGGATTTTTTTTACAATTTGGCAAACTAAAATGTGTTGTTATTACTGTAGTAGATGCTTTACTTCTCTTTCTGTAAAGCATTATTACATTACTTATTGAATGAGTACTCAACTGTTTTAACCATTGCTCTTGGACAAAGTTGGGCAACTCACAAGAGGCAGTTTTTTTTTTTAAACTGGTGAAAATCTAAGCATCAGAAGCAGATACATCCTGACGTTGTAGTCTCTAATATGGGTGAAGCTCCAAGAATGCTGGATCCTGCATTTCCCGGAACGCAACACAGTATCGTCTTTCAATAATCCCTGTATCTCCTAAATGCCCAGCAAACCCATTTTAAATTTCCCTGATGGAATCACTATGGCATTGTGAGGGTTTAGCTCCTCCAGCACCAAAGAAGACATCCCACAACCGTTTTCACGCTCTTCCTGATGAGTAAACTCAATGTAATGTAAAAATATGTGGTGTTCCCCTTAAAAAATTGATAGAGCCAAATGTAAGAATTTATAAACTCCTTGTAAAGTACGCCAGAAAGTGGTACCAACACTGACTGTATAGATTTCCTGCCATCGACATCATGAAATCAGTGAACATAATGCCTCTGTGGCCTCCCTCCACCCTGTCCCATCAACCTCTAATGCCTTTGATCTCTATAATGGGGTCCCTTCAAAAGAGATTACTCAGCCTATCGGCTTTCAAGGTGCCAATAGACAAAGCATGAGGAGGGTCCCTCTCATGTGGTCGGAGCTAAATAGTGGTCTGAGTTCGAACGTGTTTTACTACACCACTCCGACCAATTGGGAGCACTTAGACACCCCTGACGGGACCATAGAAGCCGACAATGGAGCCACAATGGCTGACACTGGACACCGGCTGACTCATGAGTAGAAAGGAGAACACTGGTGTTGTTTGGAGTTACAACCGGTTTTATGTCCATGCAGTCATTTCCCCCAATCATTGTAACATCCTTCCAGTCATTCCTCTTGTTTTTAAAATCTAAACTTTACGATGAGGTTAACTTCTGCCCTGGCTCTCATTAAAAACACCTGTTGTGGAGCAGAAGTTATAAGGCGACACGTTTAGTTGTTTTTAAACTGTAAGAGAATAAATGGCAGCAAGTGGTTTCCTCTGAAGGTAGGAAAATGAGCCCTGATATTGCCAACTCTGCTGACTGTGTGCAGACTCCGACAGGAATGAAGAGAGGGGAAACCTGCACGACCGGCACAAACCTAACCAACACCGGCGTTGTCCTTTATTAACCCCACAGCACAGTCACATCGAGAGAGAAAGAGCAAAGACAGAACGACAGGAAGAGAGAGAGACAGAGAGAGAAAACAGCTGATCCCAATTCAACCCTCCTAGTCTGGTCGGAAAATACATTCATACATTCTTCATGTCATTTTCCCCTTTATTCCTTTGCTTCTGTTATTGCAGAATGGTCAGACCGATAGATTTATTTTTAAGTTAAATGGTTATATTCATTGCTTCTTTCTCTGTGGATGAGCGAGAGGGTCCTCTAGTCCCAATCCAGTCAGCGCCCTGAGGAAAGAAACAGCATTATTACCACGTCATTGCTTCTGTGGCCTTAATTCAACTCGGCCTAAATCCCCACCACCCAAACCCACCACTTGAAGACCTTAGGGGAACTACTAAAATCCAAGGCACAAACCAATCCACTACAACAAACAAATACATAAAACAAAGAGGTTCAAATGAATGTGCTCGGCACATGTGCAAGCCATCTTGAAAGCTTAGAGAAACAGTTCTGTCTAGCCGCACAGATAAAAATCCCACACGGATGAAATACTACTAGACAGTTTAATTAATGTGGTGGACAGTTCTCACCTCAGCCCCTCAACAGGAGTACGTCCTCACTGAGGCAGATTCACCCCGGGCACCAGAGCTGGCTGTGTTGGAGACCGGGAGACAGACACAAACGGGGTCATTATCGCAACTGCAGTGTCTTAAACAGCACTGACCTTCCAGAGGCATTCTTATTAAGAAGTGGAATGAAGGATAATAGTCTTCCTCTGTACTTTAAAGAGTCTGGTCCTTGTTATTGTCGGTTCCTCTGCTAAAGGAAACAGAAAATTCCACTGCCAAACTAATGGCAGAGTAGCATGAAAACAACCGACAACCCTAACCCTAACTGGCTTATATAATGCAAGCTGTATGTTGGCTGAAAGCAAAATATTTCTGTTCAAGGCTCATTTCCAATAAATCAAGATGTAAACGCACGGCTCATTTATTGTCAGACCTGCAGAATAGTTGTCACAGCTAGCCCTGTGACCTAGCTGCAACAGACCCGATCTTATTCCTGTCATGCTCTTCATGTGAGTAATGCCATATAGAGTAACAGGTTTTCACACATCGTCTAAATTGAGACGCGCCTCGAGGGCTTCAAATGTGAATATGAGAGTGAAGGTGTCAGAGATCAATAGTCGTACTCACCGTCACTCTGGACCTTTCTCAGGGTAACGGAGGGCGTGGAGATGGCTGAGGCACGGAAGTTAGCAGGCAGGGTCTCGGCGGAGTCAGAGGTCACGCCCCGGAGGTCTTTCTCTCTAAACATCTTCCTCCAGGAGGGCGAGCGGGTGAACGTCTTGGTACCATCCTGTCAGACAGATAGAGTGTGTGAACAAAACTCCCATCTGTATTTTTAATTTTTTCTATTTCCTCAAGCCGATTAGCATGCTGACCTCATCGGGTCGCCTCTCGGTTCCCATGGAGATGAGGGAGTTGTACTCTTGCTCCAGGAGCTGTCTGGCCTGCAGGAGAGAGGTGATGTAGAGTCTTGAGATTCGCTTGGACACATTATGAGGACGTGGTGTGCTACGCTGGCATTCATTAGCTCATGTTTGTCTGCTTTAAACCAGGGCAGTTGTAATGGTAAAGGATCAGATGAGGCTTGTTACTTTCAAGTATTTTTTCAGGCATTTATTGCCTTTATTATCATGCCTTTGTTATAGACAACAGAGGGGTGACTGGAAATGATGGAGAGAGAGATACAACCAGCCGGATTCCAACCCCAGACTATGAGACATATGTCTTGGTCCTATTTGAATGATCACATGAAAAGAAATTTGACTTATATATTGGTCTATGACAAAAACCGCAGATACCAACCACTTATTGCTGTCTATATTACATTTCTCGAAGTGCAGCCTCTGGGCCTCTGAAACGTTTTGTGCAGCCTCCAAACGTGACATAATTATATATATACATATATCATATTATATTTTATTCATCCACAGTCCATTTCAATACTTTTAACAGCCTACATTTAATACTCTTAATCGGCTACTGCACAATTTTGTGCTCAAGGAATTTAATGTTAAACCCCATTAGGAGACCAATCACTAATGTGCAGCCGTCAATTTACCTAACATACTTCCATCAGAAGTATGTTTTGAAATTATTCTGCTTAAATTTCTCTGTCTGTAGCTGCGAATGAGCATGATTTTATGACATCCCAACTAGTAGCCAGTCGTGGTCCAATATGCAGCTTAGACAAGTGTGATGAGGTAACTTGAAGCCTCCAGGTCACATTTTCACTTTGTTTCACATTTACTAGAAATCATCTTGTGCTTAGCAGTTAACTTTTGAAAAACGTTGCATATCAAAGTTTCTGGATTTTTCAATGAGGGAGAAGTGATTTTAAGACTTTTTATCCCATTAATTGAACTTTTTTGTGGAAAAAACTTTATTCATGTGATTTTATATGAGGTAAGACCTGTCTGGAGTACAACGCAATGTTGATGGTTTGATTCCGGTTTGGAACCTCTCTCCATGTTTCCTGTCTCTATTAAAAAAGAAAAAATGCCAAAAATAATCTTTTAAAAACATGTTTGGAGGGAAGTCCAAGATATTTGCCCTTAAAAACTACTTTTCTATCCCTACTGTTTACTAATTGCTCATCATAAGTTAAAACAGACAACTGATACAGATATGAAAAGCCTTTTCGTTATTTACCTTTGACTACCTGTCCTTTACCTGTGTGTTCTGATTGGGGATCTGCAGCAGCAGGGCCAGGTCAGTGTAGTCAAAGGTGTCGTCTAAAGCCAGCAGAGCCCCGTGGACTCCACTCTCACGCAGGTTGTCTGCGTACTCCTTCAGACCAAGAGTCTGCACCCAGCACATCACGCGCTCATTGGACCACACCATCACATCTGGGAAGAAAAAAGGAGAAGGTTATGGGATGGAGAGGAGGCAATCCATCTGCAAACAGCACGTGGTCTGTTCACCGTTTTTATAAGCGAGATCAGGTTTCTTAATACTCTGGTGGTCATTTTCTGAAATTCAAGCTGAACAAAACATGCCTATTTGGGCTTATTTATGATCTACTGAAGGGGTTAAATTATCAGATGAGTAATCAAGAGAAATAGTGAAATCTTCCTGCTTTACCAATTCTCTGAGGTGGACTGCGCAGGTGAAGCGCAACATCAGACAAACCCAAAACTCACAAATCACTCAATCAATTCTTCTGTTAGGAAATCAGCCAAGATGAACGGACTGTTAATGTACAACATGTGTAGCCCAAGGCGCAGTGGTGGGTGAGCGAGAGATTTTGGCTTGTTTAATGACTGAGCGTGTTGACATTTATGTAATTGTTATCCAGCCAAACTGCACTAGAAAGCTGTGGCTTATAATCTCTAAAGTATGTGGGAGAAAGCAATAACGAAGGGGTGGTCCAAATATCTCCCAGCAATGTGGGAGACAGCGGTAATCAAAGGAAATGTTTGTTTTGTTTGCCATTATTCAGGCAAGACTTTATTTTATATGCCAAAGCTGATGTAAGAAAGTAAATGATTTTTTATTGTTTACAGAATTTTGGTAAACTCTCCTTTTATGTCTGCATACCTTCAAGGGATCTTGTAAAACGTTGGAAGTAGTAAAGCAAACGGCACTGCAACTGCCACTACTAAGAATACAATAAAATAAACCAGCAATTTGGTGTGAAGTAAGGAGTGATGATGATGATGATGATGATGATGACGATGATAATGATTTAGCTCTTGTTAAATCTTGTAAACTGGAGGTTAAAGTGGGATGATTTCTTTGTGCTACTTTATGCAGATGATAATCTTACTTGCAGAGAATGAAAAAGACCTGCAGAAGATGCTTAATGTTATGGCTGAACGTTGCTGGAAGGAACTGACCAATAAAAATATTTTTGGATTAGCTTCTGACTTTTTTGTCCATTCAGCAGGTACAACGCTGGGATCGGTGTTGAGCAAAGCTGTTTCAGATTATGTTTCTGGATGAACATGTGCATTGTAATACAGTTCATTGCAGGACAATTCAATCGTTTCTGTGAGAAATGACACTAGTTTTCAACATCAGTGGACAGAAATGTGAGATGATTCAACTTAAATATGTCTGCTGCGTATTAGAAAGATCTTTAAGTGAGGTGACATTTTTATTTTGTAGGATTGATTTATTTTTCCTTATTTATAAGGAAGGATAGTGTCTTGATGTTTGGTACAAATCTAAATTATGAACAGTGCAGGGCCTTATGTGTAGCTGACTTTGACAACTTAAAGACTTCCAGTCTGTGCACAGATACAGTCAGATATGCTACCATTAGCTCTAGAAACAGGTTCAATGGTCTGAAGATAAAAGGTTTGTTTCAGGTTGAAGGTGAAGTCCATTTCATGTTTTATAGCTCATTATAGGGTGATTTAAGAGACACACTTTTTAGTAAAATGTCCTTGGTTCTTCCGGCTGGTTGATAACAAAACAACTTGAGCTGTGTTTTCGGAACTTAGGGAAAGTTATTTGTTTGTAATGTAATGTAAGAAGTTATGTTCATACAGATAAGTGTCTTATAAGTCCATGTGAGCAGGGTGCTTGACCCAATAAATAATGACAAACATGACTAAAGTGAGAAGATACAGAAATAATAAGATAAGAAGATAAGGGTTAATAATAGATCAATAATAGTAATAACCATGTAAATAATTAACCTGGTTATAGATACAAGGGTTTATATGGTTATCATTAAGGTATGCTTTGAACAAGACAACAGCACAGCATGAACAAAGGAATTAGTTGGCTCTACATGGTCAGGGAAATGTTCAATACCCTACCACATCTGGGGCATGAATGGGGAGGTAATGGCAGAGAAAAACAAAGGGCTCACCTTTGTTCTGGTGGACGCTCTCCTCTCTCCTCCTTTCCAGCTCCTTGCGATCGTAATTCAGACGCTTCAGGCACATGATGCCATAATGCAAACTGACCCTGGGAGAAGTCAAAGAACCAGAGGGTGAGCGACTGAAGCAGGTTAACTGAGGGTGTGTTTCAACTCTCACCTATACTCAGAAAGCATTAACACAGTCCAACACCTTTGACCCCTTAACTCTCTAACTTAAGAAGGCCTGGAGACATACACCTGAACAGCGAGAGTGTCACAACAACAGGAGCACACCCTACATGTCATTTAACACCTTCATAATTTTCCCATGCTACACAAAGCGTCAACAAAGAAGAATGATAGAAGAAGTGACAGAAGAGCTTCGGTTATGTGAGTTATGGCTGTGAAAGAGACAAGAGCTGGCACGCAGAAGCTGAGCTCTACCTGTGGAAGCTGTCCACCATTTTGAGTTGTCCTCTCAGCTCCTTCTTGGTCAGGTGGTCCAACATGCGGGCATCCACCAGGGACTCCATGAAGTAGCTGCGATACTGTGGCAGGCCCAGGCTGGGCAGCCAGTCGTTGCCCACCCACTCGTGATTCATATCACCATAGGCCAGTATCTGGAGGGGACGACCACAGATGATCAACGCTGATTCACGCTCTGCTTGATGTCTGATGCTAGTGCAAGTCAGCAGCTCATGACTCACTGCAGTTAGTCTCACTAGAGATAAAATCACTGACAAATACGCATAGTGTTGTGTTAATTCTGACTTTTCAAAAGGGTGCAGGTGATCCTTACCTGATCCCAGCTGAACTCTTTCAGCTCCTGGAGCGCCGAGAGAAGAGGAGAGGCAGACAGAGAGAGACAGAGCCAGAGAGAGAGAGAGAGATGTGGAGGTGGCAAGGGAAAGGGGAGCAGGGGTCAAGAGCAGGGTAGACGGATGAAGAGATGATGGAGGAGAAGCAGAGGAGGGAGCAGCAACAGCAGCAGCAGCAGCAGGAAAAGAGGACAAAAGGGAGGAATAGTGTGTTAGTGAACGGGTAATTAGTTGGAAGCAGTTCACACTGAAACAGCAACCAGAGGGAGAGAAGAAGATGCTCAACACTATGGCCTGGGCCCACAAAGACAGATATAAAGAGATAGAAATTCATAATGAGAGACAGAGAGAGAGGAAGCGGAGGAAGGGGAGAGACTCATCAACATGATTCAGACCAGACGAGATGCTTAAAATAATTAAAACTGAGTAAAATAATCATGAAAAACATGTAAGAGGGTTCGTAAGACATAGACGGGACAGCAGGGGCACTAACCGGAGGCTTGATGGCAGCATTCAGAGACTCCATCTCTGCGTGGGTCATCCAAACGTTACTCGTCGACTGTGGGTAAGAGAAAAGTGAAACCATGAGATAAAAATGCACCGCAGATTGCCTAAACCGCCTGAAGCACTGACTCAACACTTGTGCATTTTTGCTGTGCCACATCACAAGATGTCAGCTAACCACAACAGCAGACTGCTTTTGTCATTGCCATGGTGATTTTGCTGGAGAAGAGGTTCAACCGGTTTATGGGAACTGATAGGATAAATGTGTTAAATCTGTTGAGCAGAATTGTGTGACTGATCATTTTCATCATTTCATTTCATTATTATGATTCCTGTTGTAAATACATGCGAAGCCAAGCAAGGGGCTGGGAAAGCCAAGCCAAACCAAATTTTGGCATTTGCTGCAAATTCGACAGTCAGTAGAAGATGGTTTTTGGTTATTTGTGACTTTATCGTCCTTAGAACAGCACAAATAAAAAGCAGGGGCACAAATGTATGCGCGTGCAACCGTTTTACAACACTTTTCAACATCTGGTTTATCTTTGTGGCCGTGTGAGTCGGTAGAATTTGGGATAATTTAGCTTTTGTTGCCAAGTTTTATCTCTGGGCGAAATGGGCGCAACTTTATCAGGAGCAGTTTAGTTTGTTATCATTCTCCTGGAAAATACAGTCATACTTTTATTATTTTTGACATTTACGACATTCAGGATATGTTTCATGTTCTTGGGTATTCCACATTCTCCTGTATCTGGATTTTTTTTGTTTCTTCACTCCTGCAACTTCCCTCATTTTCCACTCTTTTTTCAAGTCACATAAATCTGCTTTTTATTTTACATCATCCCCGTTATGATATCATATACCCTCAGTTACATTTTATTTTTTATTTTTGTATTATATTACTAGTGTCTGCTGCAAATGACCCCAACAGGGATCATTAACATTTCAACTAATCTCAAAACTAAAAACACCTGGTTTAACATGTACCTCATACTGCTAATATGAATGCAGCGTTTGTGTATTATCAGCAAAAAGTCTGTGTTAAAAGGTATCAACACCCTGATGAATGCATAAATCGACATGTGAAGGTGTTTAAGGTCTTAGCGTTTTCCAGTTAAAGGCTTCTTTACCTTTAATCCAATAGGGAAGCTGTCTAGACTGGGATTTTTTTATGACACATATGTGGTCATAATTTCTCTCTCTCTTTTTTTCTTTTAAAAGGTTAATGAGTAAAATGTATGTGCAGTCACAGAGTCTCACAGAGCGAGTGCTGGCCGGGGCAGAGGGGCTGGTGAGGGACACCATCTCCTGGATGGCCAGCCGCAGTTTGAGGCGGTGAAGCGGGTTACTGATGCCGATCTCCCTCTGGATCTCCGTGTCCGACAGGTTGGCCATGATGGCACCGCTCTTCACGTTGGCACGACAGGCTGCGACGTACCAGGCTGGCATTCCCACCCACAGCTGGAAGGGGAATAAATAAAGGAGAAAATGTAAGGGAAGAATGTTATTTTGATTCAAATTCCTCCATCCCTGTGATTGCACTGTACCTCCAACCAAGATACAACAGTGGGTCCGTCCCAAGATGCAAAGGGGAGTCCTTGGCGACATGCTTCTTCCAGTAGCTCATGCCTGGTAAGAAAGGGAAGCATTACATGAGTCTTATTTGGTGCCATAGATCAAAATATTAACCTGAGAACCACATTAAAACAAAACAGGAGACATAATCCACAAACTTCTTCTTGCTGCGGCGATCTTTATCTGCAGGACCCAGAGTCCCAGTCTTGTTCATCCCCATTGGGTCTCCAGAGGCCAGGTCTTCAGAGGGTGTAGATGCTGGAAGAGACACAGTAAGGTCAAAGGTCACAAGAATGACATATAATGTAGATATGAATACCTCAAATCACGGAGCTAGAGCAGCTCAGATGTGTTTAAATGAAAATGTTGACAGTGTGGATTACTCATATACAGTCATTGTTATCCCTCCCTTATCCTCCATCTGTTTACCAAGAGAAGCAGATCCATCCCGCCCAGGTTGGCCCATCCTTCCTTTCTCCTTCTTTCCAAAAAGCCGACCGATGGAAGACTTGATGCTTTTCTTCTTACTGGACTTGTGGAGAGAATCTTGGCTGCTGTTGGAGCTGCTGCCATCTGCCGAGAGACTGGAGGGGACAAAGGAAATCACTAAGGGGGAAAAGCCAATAAGGATTAAACTGTTGTATTTGATATAGTTAATGTGTGGGCTGCCTTACCTGCGGAACTCCCGGGGGTCATCTAGCATTGCTCCTGGATGGGTGAGGGTCATTCTGTCCAATCGCAGTGCTCGAGGAGTGGAAGGAGGCGTGGAGTCAAGAAGAGCGAGGGACCTATCATCATCTTTGTTGTTCTGAAACATGAAATATAACAAGAGCATTTAAAAAACACTTCTAATAGTGTGCAGCTGGCATGGTTCACCAAGCCATTTCTTCCTCCAGTACAGCTGAATCATTGAGACCTGGACTGCATGAAATTATATTTTATTACTACTAAGTAAGGAGACTCTTTCAGGCAAATTCAGACCAGAAACAATCTGATTGCACCAAATAAAAACTTTTTTCTTGGGTTGAGATCTGAGGTTATTATTTCAATTAAGAGATGTGATTAAATTACTGCGATCGTTAAACATTCTTATGTAATGGATAAATGTCGTCTCTTCAACCTGACAGTTGAAGAATCCAGAAACTCTCACACTAATTAGCTAGATGTGTGCTAGCTGGCTAATTAGGTAGCTATGATGGGAATTACAGGGAAAATTCATGAACCCTTCCAACTACAGTGAAATGATTTAATTGAATGAATGAATAAGAGTGAGAGAACTAGACTTTCTGGCAGGGAGTTAGATGAGCTGGTTAGCTTAGCTTAACACGAGAATTGGAAACAGGGGAAAACCACTAGCCTGGCTCTATCCAAAGGTAACAAAAGCACTTCTGAAACTCACTAAGATATTACAAGGGCATGTAAAAACAACAATTTGCTGTTTTTACAAAGGTTATGTGGCGGACTTTTTGGCTGCTGCCCGGAAATCAGGGGAGAATTCAGATAGGTTTCCAATCTTTATGCTAAGCTAAAGCTTGGGACAAACCCAAAGACTTGCTGAAACCTACAAAAAACTGGACAAACCACACATAAATATTGTTCCCACCAACCTGCACTGATTTTAGACTGTAAGGAAGAAGCATAAACCTTATGACTGTAGAGTAAATACACTAAACAACTAGTCAGCAACTGGTCATTAATGACTGGAGTTCTGGGAACCGGCTGCTGGCTGATGCACCGCAATTTGCGTCCAAAAAAGGAGGAAAATAAAATCACAGAATTTAGTTGTCCAGTCCTTTTTATGTTACATTCTTCTTTTGTTCTTTTATTCAAGAAAATAATACCCATTTAAACCTACTTCAAGATCCAGGATAATAACTTGGATCCATTATGTGTTTTACTTCTGATTTGAATAGACTGTGTCATTCTGGTCACCGTAACCCAACTTTACTTTATTTTTGTTTTTGACAGGAGTGGAAGCCATTATGGGTTTCTGCTACTGTAGTTCATTGAATGGAGGTTTTTAAATCCATTACAGTCCTAAGCTGTTTGTCTGATGTACATCCTGCCAACTTGATCCATAACTTGAACCATTCTTTCCATTCTAAGAAGTCACACATTAAGATTAAAACTTTCGAAATCCCTGCTGACTACAAGGTTTTTGTTTATTGCACCAACTTTTGTAATCCATCCGCCCCTTTTGGAAATACTGGAACCAGTGTGTCTGGCACCAACCGCCATACCACCCTGTGAGTTACTTGAAATAGTCTTGCCCAATCAAACATGCTGCTGAAGAATAACTTAACTTCTCTCACCCCGTCTGCATGATTTACTCATGCTTTATTTACATGACTCACTGTCTGGAGGAGCTGTTTGCATAAATACGGAGGTGGATACAGAGGTGAGATAAAGAAAAAAAGGTTAACACCTAAGGGAATAGAAGTTTATTCTTGCATTCCAGCAGTACCTGTCTATCAGTCTCACGGGCCGGGGAGTGAGGCAGGCGAGGGGTGGAGTGCCCAGAGCTGGGAGGAGAAGGGGAGGCCAGGGTGGAGGATGTGATGGACGAGGGGATGAAGCCCCGTCCTGTGCTGTCTCTCCCCAGGGTGGATGGAGGGATGGGCGGACTATCCAAAGCCACGCTGACCCTGCTCTCAATCTCTTCGGCCCGCAACTCCGTGTTCTCCTTCTCCTCCTGGATCAGTCTGGTTTTGTTGAATATGACATAATAAGGTTAAAATGTTCTGATACTGAGAGGAATATTTGGGAAAAAGTTGTATTTGTCTTGCGAAGAGTTAGATGAGACTCTTATGTAGGTACAAAGTTACAGCCGGCAGTCGGTTAGCTTCAGATTAGCATAGACTGGAAACAGGGGGGAACAACTAGCCTTGCACTGGTTAAAGTTAACAAAATCGGCCTGCCAGCCCTTCTAAAGATATAATGTTACATATAGTTTGGTTAATCTGTACAAAAAACAAATAAGTAAAAACTACAATTTGGCATCTTACAAATCAGCATTGACTAGAAAGTTACTGGTTCTGACCAAGAAATAGTCACATAAACATAACGTAAAGCGGCAAATTGTCTTGTTACTTTGTTTATTTTTGTATGGGATTAAAAAATGTGATTTAACTTGTTAATTAGGGAGTTAAAGTGCTGGTAAGGCCGTTTTGTTACTTTTAGACAGAATGCAAATTTTTGCATGAGACCCTCAATTTGAGAACCACTGGACTAAACTAGTTAACTATATAAATATACTATATAACTATACTTTTATACTATATAAAGTAGTTAAAACTAGTTCCACTTTGAGCAGCTACAATAGTAACATGCTGCTTGTCCAATGATGCATTAATATTAATCTAATAATGTCACATATATATCATTCACTGGAGAACTCACTTTTGGTACTTAAAGTCAATTTGGCTGATAATACGTGTATAATATGTACTTTTGTGCATCAGACTGCACTATGTACAGAGATGTTTCCTCCCTCCCTCCCAGCTGCTGAGTGCTGCTGCCCTTCCTTACTTGATCTCCTTATTGATGGCCTCCAGCTGTTCCTGCAGCATGATGGCCAAGGTCTGCACGTCTGTCTGTCCACTCGGGGACAGCAGCTCAGAGCCAAACCGAGGCTCCCCGTCGTCCTCGTCGTCGGAGCAGCCCACATCCAAGCCCGGCTCGAACCCGGTCCCCAGCAGAGCCCCGCTATCCCAGTCAGGGTACTGCACACAAAGACAACAAGGAAGTTATTATCCATTTATCAACTGATTTCATTCACAAATACTCATCATTCACCTTTAGTTCAGAATTTTTCTACCAAAACCTGATTATGGTGGCTCATAGGGATGTCAGATTCTCACCTTGGTCGAGTCCTCACGGGCAGAGCTCCAACGGGCCCGATGACTCCGCCTGACCACGCCCCCAGAGGTTGCGTTACCGAAGGGATCCAGGTGAGTTGTGGAGCCGGTCGGGAGGGACCCGCCCCCGTGGGAATACCTCAATTCCAGAGCGCTACCTGGCAGAGAGCGACTGGAAAGATAGAGGGACAGATAAGATGCTACGAGATAAGATAAGTTAATTATCCCAGCAGGCTGAATCCAATTTAAGACGGTTAACCACAGAAAAAACAACAGCTGGCGAGGCGAGAGATTTAAACACAACACAACTGGCAATACCAAAACTAAAATGTGTACAATATGAATAAAAAAGAAATCTGCCTAAAATCGTAAGAAGTTTAGATTATATATAATGTGTAAAAGGGCATCATATTCCCATTAACAGGTTTCAAGAAAGCTATAAGAGAAAGTGTCAAGACATGCAGATGAGAAAATTACAAGTGTTGGGTCATGTAGTTAAGTTTGTGGAGTTCAGTCATTGTGTGTGTGTGTCAACACTTTTTTAGCCCTGTGAGTGCTGTTACATGCCTCCAGTGTGGAGTGATTTATCTATAATGTCTGACAAGATAAGAGACACAACACTGGCATCTTAACAGTCAGGCGAGGCCACGCTGGAGCAAATAAAGGTTTCATTCTTTTTCTGGTGCGGATGTTGAAATGGCACCAACCTGGAATAAGAGCCCCCAGGCCTCGCTCTCAGCTGATCTAACTCCAGCTGAATCCTTTCCAGCTCTGCTATCAGTTGGTCCTGGGAGTTGGGAAAAGAGACAGAGTTGGTGAAAAAAGGGAAAATATGTCTTCCAGCCTCGACTAAGAATGAAGCCCAGAGAGGCGCAGGCACCTTGTTTGCCAAGAGATCATCCTGGAGTTTCTTCATGTTGGACAATTCCTCAGAGAGGGCGTTCTGGAGATGGAACAATGAGAAGTTTTATTACTGTAAAATGAAAAACAGAATATTCTTAATATGATGTGTTCAAACTAGAGTTGGTGAATTGGTCTTAAAGTAGGATTGTAGGAAGTAAGTTGAAGCTGCACAGTACATTACTAAACTACACCCAGCACAGTAATGTTTACTAATGCAGCCAGTTTTATGTTTTTAACTCCTCTTAAACCTCTTAAAAAGGGACAGAGTGGTTTAAATAAACACATTAGCCTGTTTTATAATAATATGATTATATAAAACATATAATGTAGTATATATGTATATAGAATTTAAATTTTATATGCAGTAAAAAGTGCAGTATTTCCCTCTGAAATGTAGTGAAATAGACTCAAGTTAAGTACAAATACTTCAAAACTTTACTGAAAGCATCCACAAGGAACTTTGATTTTGTGTTGATTCTGGCGGGCCTTGTGGACAACAGTGGTAGTGTTTCTACCACCTCGTTTCATTGATTTCAAGGGGAAACCGACCCAATCCAACCTGGTGGCAGGCATTAGGAATACATATACAGAAATAGCCAATGTTCTCGCTGATAGTCTTGTTTTTGTAGGTCACATAGAGGCATCAGTATTTAATTCAGACTGTTTCATAACCAGTTAAAAATGATGTGTAGAAACATTTAAAAGAGTAAAGTAAGTGTATGTAAGTAAACTATTCTGGTTGTAGGATTCACTGCTGTTTGGGAGTTTGGGAATTTACTCATGTTTTAACTGGTCACTTCCTGGAGGGCAGAGGAGTGAGTGAACATACAGCACCTGACACCAGGAAATGGGACGCATCTTTAGGGTCTTAATTAAGGGAATGAGACATTTTCTGTTGCAGTTTTACACGGCTCAGATCAAAATGAAGAGACGCTGTGAATTCTCTCCTCTGTCTGAGCAGGTCACCTTTTCTTCCAGGGCGGCCATTCTCTCCTTCAGATGGAGCTGCAGCCTCTCGTTGGACTCAGACAGTAGCTTGTCCACCGTGTCAGAGAGACGCTTGTTGTGTTCATCGTTCATCCTCTCCCTCTGCCTCGCCTGAGGGGGAGAGAGCAAGATGGGTGAGAGTCAAAGAGAAGAAAAAAATGAGTGAGAGGAGGGAGGAAAGGGAGGGTGGGAGGAGAGCTAATAACAAGCATTCTGCTTGACTGTGAGCGAGGGACAAAGATTTCTATCTGAATGTGCACGATCAAATAGAGGGTTTAGAAAATTAGTGCGCCTTTGTCCTGCGTAAAGCCTGACAAAAGGAATGGCATGAAAGAGGGGGAGGATGAAAACAGAGAACGAGAAGAGAGATGGAAAAGCAAAGATGACTCACCCTCTGTAGCTCCTGGTTCTTCTCCTCCAGTTGCGCCTCCATCTGTCGCAGTCGCTCCTCAAAGTTACCATGACGCTCCTCTGCCTGAATGATTGGAGAGGAAGAAAGCGGGGTTAGAGCGTGAACCATGTTGAGACACTAATGCAAATTAACACAAAGGAAACAGCTTGTTGACTGAGTATATCAATTAGTGACATGCCTGTACAGATCACAGTGTAACAGGCAAGTTTCTTTGCTTGTGTCTTACAGGGCATTAATCTGATCCTTCCATGGAAGCCATCTTGCCTGAACATGTAAGAAATAAGTGGTAGGAGGTTTGGTGGAGGAGAGTGAATGTATGTCTTTTTGGCATGAGTGGAGATTGTGTTTACAGGAATTGTAGAGGTTCACATATGAGCAATTAAATCAGTCAGTTATAAAGAATCTGTGCGGCATACAGTTCTTGACGTGTTGAGCGCCTAAGGCTCAAATAGCTGCACTGACTGGTGTCCTGAGCTGGCTTTCATCTTAGATTGTTTGCTTTTTTGAATTGCTTAAAATATTTCATATTCATCTGTCATTTGACATCTCATGTTCCATTTCACTAATGCATGAATACACACATGCACCTGCACCAGCCCACACACACTCATGTGATTGTGTCTGTGCACAGGAGCATATTCTGACATGCACAGATTTGTGCACACATTAATGCACATACATATTTCTGTTACTATTTTCATTCCATTATATAGAACTGTATGGGGTTAAAAATGTCTCCAACAGTTTTCCAAAATTGTTAGTTAACTTGCAAATGCCCGAAGAGGGCTGGCAGGGTTGTAGGCACATACAGTACATACACTTGCATACACACATACCTTGTTGAGTGCTGCCACTCTCTGGGCAAGCTGGGCCTCGATCTCTGGAAGCGTCTCCGCCCTCTGCAGAGTTTGCTGCAGCTTCTGTTTGGCATCATCCAGACGCTCCTGAAGCTGCCGGTTCTTCTCCTCGCTCTGCAAGAAAACAGGATGAGAGGGAGTGGAGGTGAAACTCTGGAACGCGAGTGAAGACTGCCGGGGGCAGCAGACATGATTAAAGCCACTGGGGGAAAAGAAAATGCATTGATGGCACGCTCTGTGTGCCAATGTGAAACGTGGCCAAGCTGCCAATCACCAGCGGAAACATGGACACACATAGGGATGAAAGATACTTTTCCCACCTGTCTGTAGAGAGAGTCTTTGCTGGCCAACTCGTTCTCCAGTTTGTCTTTTATGTCGTGGAGAGACGTCGCCTCCCTCTGGGCACTCAGGTACCTGCAAACCAGAACAAACCGGCAGACGGAGCAGTGAGTGGAGCACATGTTGGAGGAGGGCAACAAGAGTTCATGAACACAGACTTAAACACAAACCTGCGTTCTAATGTGGTGATTCTCTCTTCCATGTCTTCCCTTTGACAAAGTGCCTACAGGAAAAAAAAATTATATAAAGATTCTGATGCAGAAACAGAAAGGAAAGAAGACCAGACAGAGATAGTGGGAAATGTCAAGTTTACAAGTACATGTTCCTCAAAGGGAGTTCACTGGGCTTGGACAGCTATTAGCTGAAGAATGATAATGACTGGTTAATGGTAGTTGTTGACAGATTTTAGAAGCACTCACTTGTGCTGTTGCACAAGTCCAAGAGAGACAGAGGGGGGGAGAGGGGGGCAGACAGTGAGGAGAAACAGTTAGGTGTGGAGAAGACATTAAGAGAAAAGTGTTTGCTGAGTAAACTGGCTCGACTAACTCTCGTCTGAATATGCTCCACATGACTTTCAATCAGCTAGCAGCACACTGACTGATTAACAGGGCCGCATCCATGTGAAAACGCCTGCAGCTCTACCGATGCCACTGTCACCATGGCTACAGGGTAGAGGCTCTTGTGTGTGTACAGTAACAGCTGCCAAGTAGGCAAATGGCTTTGTTACCATAGCAAACTGTTACATATATCTGTGAGTATGAGCAAAATAGACTCTTTGTGCCACTGCGACAGACACACATAGTGGCGGTTTATTGTCTGTCAACAGCTCAGCGAGTCTCACCTCTTTCACATCCCTCTGTAGTTTCTGGTTGGCCTCCTCCGATCGGGCCAGCTCCCTCCTGGCGGACGTCAGCTGCTCCTCGATCTCCCCGACCTGACGGGAAGTGACAGTGGGAGATACAAGGCTGAGCGAGCACATGTCATTTTCTGTCCGTTAGCATCTTCAGGTTGTGATATTTTGTGTGTTTTGGTGAAAGCATTAGACCATAAGAGCGTCTCTGAATCAAGTACCTGTCTGCACATGAGGGCCAGTCTCTCTTTCAGCTGTCCCAGCTCTGACCTCTGCCGCTCTATCTCGCCCTCTCTCTGCCTGTCGACATCTGCGTCGTCCAAGATGGAGGACGGCCCGTTGGGAAGCCGCTGAATGAAGAGAACAGGTTTAATTAGTGGTGCAGATAGTACCTTTATATCGCCAACAGTGATCATGATATATCTGATAAAGTTGTAATTAGTGTGAATTACTTCACACTGTGTTATGGGTGACCCAGAACAGACCCAACAGACCCAAAACCCAGCACAACAATTTCTAAATAACCAAACTTCCTGGCATTTTTATCAAAATTATGGAGGATAGGGGCATCACAAGAAATGTCAGGCATTCAGTGCTCAGTACCTTCACAGAAAACAACAACAACAGAACTAACTGTAACGGATTATGGGACAAAGTCATTACAACCCATAGAAATCCAAGATAGTGCATAACTTCATCCTTGCTGACCGACCTGAGTGATGCTGAGTGAGCTGATGGCTGATGGCTGGCAGCCATATTGCAACTATACAGATATAGGAAAATACTATAGACTATGGCAATAGCCTCTAACCTTTCATCTGGTTCCACCATTGACATTTGTGGTAAGATGTCTCACCTCAACTTTTGGATCAATGTGAAATTTGGTACAGTTATGCATGTGTCCCACAAAATGAATTGTAATCACGTTGGTGATCCTCTTTCCATATAGTTCCATTATCAGGTTAATAATTTAATTTGTTCAATACTTTGTTTTATGACCATCCCATTACCTCTTTTCCATTGTCTAGTCCCTGCTGCCGTCGCTTGATTTGTTCCCTTAAAGACACGACCTGAAACAACACAGAGGAGAATCATCACAAGTGACTCCATCAGTAATTCATTGAAACCTGTGAAAAAAAAAAAAAACAGAAACGTGGACTCACCTCTTGAGAGGAGGTCTGCAGCTCTTCCTCCAGGGACGCCACTCGCTCCAAAGCCACCCGTAGCCTTTCCCTCACCTTCTCATCCAGAGCTTTGTGGTGCTCAAATAGGGACTTGAGGGCTTTTAGGACCTCCACCTCACTGGAGACCCCGGCTGGGGACTGGGCCTGCCTCTTCACCACAGTCATCCTCAGGCTGCGCTCGTGACGGGACACCAGGCACTCCAGATGTTCAAGCAGCAGCTGGAAACACATGTGGTTCACATACAATAAAACCCCTCCACAGTATACCGCTTGTCTGTTATAAACTGTCTCAGAGGATTACCTTTTAAAAAATGCATGCCGAAAAATCAGATCAGAAACTTCAATTAACAAGCAAATAAATACAAGAATGTAACGTCAAACAGACATTGGGTGTAGACATGGAAGGGTACTGACTCGTGTGTTGTTTCTCTCTGCCTTCAGCTCTGCTATCTCCTCCTCTCTCTCCAGCAGCTGTTCCCGGCAGAGGTTCAGCTCTTTGGTCAGCACTGCAAACTCCTGCAGGGTCACAAGAGGGTGCTGTTATTGACTCTGCTGCTGCTGCATGAGGTCATGATATCACACACACGCACACACACTAGGGCTGCACGATATGGTAAAAAAATAACAAATGCGATTATTTTTTACAGATACTGCGATTGAGATATGAGTCATGATTAGTGGGAATGATCATTTTTGCAATCACAGTTATAATTTTCACTGAAACAAAACTATTAAAATTGTGATGGTGTGATATTTTTGGGGTCTTTACCAAAAAACTAATATTCTTACATCTGCAGAACAAGATTTATAGGACAGGGCATCTATGCAGAACTACAGTACTTCCTTATAATGCTGTTTTAACACATTTTCAAAAAAATGCAGCTTCTTACAATTTGGATTTCGTTAATATTTGGATTAAGTGTGCAGCCCTAAAACACACTCACACACGCACACACACACGCACGCACACACACACACACACACGCACGCACGCACACACACACACACACACACACACACACACTCTCTCTCTCACATCAAAGTACATCCACAGATTACTTTATAATGAAACGCTGTACTTTCCCACTTTCTCAAAACTTGCTCTGTGTGCTTGAACTTGAATTGGTGACTTCCTTCATTTCCCGGAACGTTTCCCAGGAAAGTTTCTACGTCTTTTGTCATACTACACACTGCATTGCAATGAATCTGTACTGTCAGTGAAACATTTTTACATTTTAAACAACAAATTATGTCATGATACCAAACTCCAGTGGTATCTCAGCATGGGGTTACCTCTTCTGACTTTGGCCAGTAATTCCAAAGTATAGGAACCCACTAAACATAAAAACAGACAAAAAAAGACTGTGGACTGTAACGTTTACTGCCAATATTTTCCATTAGCCCACACAGTGCAGTTGACTCCAGTGAACAATTTGACCAATCTTGATTTCATTAGCACATGTTCAACCTCACAGAATTTCATTGCATTAAACAAACATGCACAGACATGCAGCTACGTTTTGGGCTGAAAGAGGACACGACTCACTAAAAACCAGCCAAACAGCACATACAATATAATCTTTGCCATATCTACCACAGTGCTAACAGTTAATGACCGCCAGGCCTCTATATAAAATCTAACAACCAGGTTTACTGCACACGTTGCACCTGAAATTGGTTTAATTGCTCAATAACCACGACTGGCTGTGCGTTTGCCCGTCATTAAAACAAATGCCTTGAGGTTAAACAAGCATGAGGCTAACTGGAATTAGGCCAGCGCAGTGTAATGTCTTATATTTCCAGTTGACAGCAGTCCAGTTGAATTGTTGTGATTTTGTGTAATTTAATCCAATTATATATAATGTGAGGTTAGCTACATGATGGTTATGATTAAAATCTGTTGCCTTTGGTCTAACTAAATGGTATCCATGGCAACACATCAACAAAGAGAGGATGAGTGACATTTTCAAGTCACTTGGATTGAGTCGAACTTTCAGCTGTGATCATCTGCCGTGCTGACACTCCACTGAGCACGAAGTAAAACGCCATCATACACACGACTATGTACACACACTGTGCCGTAACCGCTCGCCCGTGTGCTGATTGTCCTCTCGTTTCCACTCTGCTCATGTGTGATAGTGGCGTGATACACATATGACACACATGGTCGTGCGCCGAATCATGTGTGTTTTCAAAAACTCTTATGCAAACGAGCCATTAAAGGGCACTGATGCGTGCACGGTGCTGCTGTTATCTTTGCTCTGTGTTAACAGTGATCAGTTTGCGCACACGACGGCCAACAGGCGCCTTACCTCACACCCTCATCCAGATAAAATGCATTTTAAAAGTACAGCATGTACAGCCTATAACAAGCTTCTGAGCTGATGTGCTCACTGGGCTTGAAATCAGGGAGGACGGAGAAATAAGTGAAAGGAAGAAGTGTATCTGAAAAGATGGAAGAGGAAGGATCAGGGAGGAAATTGCTGTGTGAAAATGGTATGTTCTGGGCCCAGAGGATATCATAATTCTGGGTTTAATTCACAAAAAAAGATGGAGTGAGATGGACCACCGATAACGAACTCTTTCTAGATTCTTTCGGTCGCCATCATTTTGGTCAGATACACTTTCAACTCTCTAAAAATCTCCATCCTGCCACTCTCCCCCTTCATCCATTTCAATCTCCCCCTGTCATGATACACGACATCTAAAACAGACTCTCGAAGCCACCTTATTAGTATGCAGCAATATGCAAATTGGCTTGATTTGTTAGTCTCTGTGTGTTTCATATCACCAGGTTTTCTCTCTCTCTTTCTCTGTGCCATGCTGTCGCTCTTTCCATCCCTCTCTCCTATTTTTCTCTCTTGGCAACATCTACACACACAGACGAACTCAGTGAACTCATCTACTGTAGAATGTATCACAGCGCTCCATGTGTTCCTCTATCTGCGTGTGTTTCTGCAGATGTTTGTGCACCATATTGATCTCCTCTCACTGAGGTAATATGGCCCTTTAATGTCCAGTCACTCTTTGTTAGAATGTGCAGCACTGCTACATCTGTTATTCCATTTTGATTTTTCAGGCGTAGCGACAGAGAAAAATAGGTACTAACAATGAGGGAGGCATCATCGCTGCCTGAGGCATCCAACAATGACTCCGGCCTGAAAATAGAGATGGAGCCCTTGTATGTTGAGTGGCATTACAAAATGATTAGCTCTCCAGTGTTGGGATGTGGGATAATATAATAATTGACTGTGCTACAGGGGCAAACGCAACATTTCGCAACCATTATCTCCAGGTTTTAAGGTAGCTCCAGTTTGTGCCCTTTCATCTATTACCATTACATTTGAATCACAAAGCTAAGCACCCAATTTTCCCAAGAATACACACTTACTTACAAAGTGTTTCCAGCATCCTCAAAGACTCTTCTAACCATCTGGATGAAAAAATATTCCGACAGCTGCACGATGAAAGATTTTGAGGTTCTTTTCTCAAGTTGCGTCCGTATTTCCTAATCCAAACAAAGTTCTCGCTGCTCATTTTGGGCAACTTGAACCAAAATTTCAGCGATATATGTCTAGGTTACGTTGATGGTTATATACTGTGTTTTTCAAAAACCACAGGGTATATATTTTTCAGGATAATCAGATGATGAACTCGGTGACACAAATGTAGTAGCAATAAACAAAGTGGCATAAACTAGGGCCAAGTTTTAGCATTACTACTAGAACTTCAGAAAACATTCTAACAGCTAAACTCAGTAGGTTACTGAATGATCATCCAGCACCGTTAAAGGACCAGTGTGTAGGATTCAGTGGCATCTAGTGGTTAATTTGCAGATTGCAACCATCTAAATACAGCTCAGCCTTCCGAGCATGTACGAGAAATTACGTGAGAAGCCTTATCCAGAGCTAGTATCTGGTTTGTCTGTTCTGGGCTCCCTCTGTAGATAAAAATGGCTCATTCTAAGTAACGAAAACACAACAATTCTCATTTTCAGGTGATTATAAACTAATAAAAACAAACCTATGAATATTATATTCAATTTATACTGATATATCCTCCTGAATGTCACACACTGAACCTTTAATATGCAGCATTTACTACTGCTATTACAACTTCAGAAAACAAAACTTGGTAGTTATTGTTTACTGAAAGATCCTCCAGCATCATAAATGTCACTTAAGTACAGTTTTGAGGTATTTGAGTAGTTCCACTTTGGTTGTAGTTAATAGATACTTTCCAGAATTCAACGTGTTTTACCTTCTACGACTATACAACAACCTTGTTTTAGCTTCAGCATGAACTCCAAAGAGTTTCAGTGAGAGAAAAGAAAGCCGGTGATGATGATGGAGATATGAGGTTTTACTTTGTTACTTTAAACTCCCCAACAGCACAATAAAGCAGTCCGACTCAGCACCACCTGGACCAGCGACAACATTAAAATCCAGCTTACAGGTTAACACATCAATAATTCAACAGCGTGAAAGGAACCATTTTCACAACCAGTACTCTTGATACAGTACAAGAGTACATTCTACTGATAATACTTTTACAGAAGTGTGATTTTGAATGCAGGATTTGTACTTGTGATGGAGTATTATTCTCCTTTTTGGTTTCGATGCTTTTAAGTAAACAAACACGGCTGCTGCAAACAAGGATGATTTGTTGAATAAGTCTCATTACTCTATTCGTATACTGTATGTGTCTATTTAGATGTTGATTTAAAATAACTTGTGCTCTTATTTGCTGATTGATCATCGTGAACCATGCTGTCTACAAACACAGCTCCCTCACTATCACTGTGAAGTAACACACCTCGTTGCACTGCTGTAAGGCACATATAATGTGAACGTAGACTATTTTCTGTCATCCTGTGTGTTTCTTAGTTGCCATCTGAGAGGTTTAAGAGCTCAGCAGACTGGAGATACACAGCCTGTGAGGCAGTTTGCACGTCCCAAACTATATTTGAATCTACCTGAAATTAAAGGAACAGTTCGCATTAACACTCCCACTGAAGTCGGCATATAAAACCGCAAAACATGAAGCAAATTCTTACTAAATCTTTTCCATTTCAACCTTCTCCCAAACTGTTAAAGCAAGGAGCTATTAGACTCTTTCCTGTTGCAAGGAAAGCATGATCTTAAAACAGCTGCTTAACAATGCAAATGTTTTGTGAATAGAGCACCGAAATATAGGTCCACATATCCAATATTCACAATATAATCATCTCCTATATTCTGCTCAGGGATAATGCTTCAGTCATGCGTGTGTGGTGCAGTGTGTCCCTGTATGCTGCTGTAGGATGTGCATGTCTGTCCGCAGAATTGTGAGCAGCAAACACACATATCAGAGATCCAGCATGCATTGCATTGGGACATAGAACAACAGACATTTTACTTTATGTTATCAGCTTATTAATGAGTTTTTGGAGTGAACTGCTCCTTTAGTTGAGTAAAAACTAAAATTTGGGATGCACACACGTGTTTGTCTATACTTAGATAATGCAATACCATAAATGATGATGATTGAACTGTGCCATTTGCACATTTTTGGATGTTACAAAACCTTAACACCTTCATTCTGACCTTGACAGGGCAAAACACAAAAATTTAATTTTTCAGTTGAAGTGTGATAGCCTTTCACAGACAGGGATAAACAGGCCGGATTATAAACAGAGACGTGTGTGTAAGATACAAATGTTCCCTCCACAGCTACAGAACTGAAACAGCCTTTAGACTTTAATGTGATATCCAAACTAGTGAGATTGTTTGTCAGCAGCTCCCACCTCACCTCCTGAACGTTACTCTGACCCCCCCTCAGTCGCCGTACCTGTGGCAGGGCGATGGACAGCTGCCTCTGGAGTGACTCCTTCTCGTGGCCCAGCTCTCGCAGGCGTAGGTGCGCCGTCCCCAGACTGTCCTGCGTCTCCCTCAGGCTCTCCAGCAGCCTCTCTCTCTCCGTCAGCATGTTCACCATCAGCGACTCCAGGTTGCCCGTGCTGCCCCCCTCGTCGCTGCCGCCGACACCGCGGGGGTCACGGCTGCTGAAGCCCACTATGCCTCCTATCCCTCCGCCCATCCCTCCTCCGCCCCCCGCCGGGGAAGACGAGCCACCTCCTCCCCCGCCGCGCCCGTCCTCCGAGATGGTGGGCATCACCTCGCACATCATCGTGAGGCCTGGGTGTGAGAGGCGTTATCTGAGAAGCTGTCTAGGACACTTGAGCGCAGTGTCTGGTGAACGACTGACTCGTCATGAAACTGTTACTTGGTTGGTTGGGGGGGTCTTTCCTCTCAAGCTGATTGGGTGAGGCTGGCAGGCAGGAAACAAGTGCTGGGGGGTTTGGAGACGAATAGGGCCGCTCTGTGAGTTTGTGAGTGAGAAAAAACTGGGGGGGGCATAAGATAAGGTCCAGTGTTTGGGGTGAGGGGGGGAGGCAGTGTAGGGTGGCTGGGAGGGAGAAGAGGACAGGGTTTGGTGGGAGGGGTGGGGTAGGGGGTGCAGGGGTAAGAGGGAGAAGTGCAGGGTTCGGTGGACGACCTCTGACCCCCGGCACCAGCCTTCACTGGGATGAGAGACGAACCTGGAGAGAGAGGAAGAAAGGGAGGGAGGGGAGAGAGAGAGAGAGAGAGAGAGAGAGAGAGAGAGAGAGAGAGTGTTTTTTTAGGCGGTGAATCTCTGCAGGAAACCAAATGACGGAGGCCACAGAACACATAATGTCAGCCTGCATTTCCCAGCAGGTTGTGATCTCTCATATCATGTGAGCTGGCCTGACACACACACACACACACACACACACACACACACACAGTCCAGCCACCTTTCTCAGGCGTTTCTCCAAACCTCAAAGAGAGAGTAAGCACTGCTATTGCAGCACTGCTGTCTCTTGCTTGCACTGACTGGCATCGCAGTCTCAACGTCTGGAGTAATTATGCATCCATCAGTGCATGTCTCGGCTTTATGTATCCGAGTCGTCCAAAGTCATAACGGTGAAAATGAATGCGCACGATGTACGGAAATGAGTCGTGAATGGTAGCTTTACCTCAGCAGCCTACAAAACGCCGCCACGCAAACACAGAACAATTATTAGGCCTGCAGGTGGAAGGAGAAAGATGCGGCGCTGTTTCATACATTCATGTGAGGAGGAGAAGAAAAAAAAGGGTGTCATCATGAATTGTAATTACGGGCTGTATCCAGGAGGAAATAGGCTTCTTTCTCCGGCTCCGGAACCCATTTGTAAAAAATATTCTGGGTGAATCAGGAGCTTTATTATCCTCAGGGTGTTAAGGCGGTAGATTAATAGCTGTCTTAACTAAATAAATGGCCTAAATGGGGGGGCAGCCTATTTTTGAATGCATTTAGAGCTGTACAGGATAGCCTCACACCGCTATCACATCATGGTGGGAGGTGCCAATCATCCTGTAAATGATGTAGCAGATGCAATCATAAGATTTTACGCAATTGGATTATTAGTTTTCTTTGTGATATGATTAATAACCTAAATGTCGGAAAACGGTGCGCCGCTTTGGCTTTATTCCGAATGCAAGGCGTCTTATTTCCTATCAACAGCCCCCTCCCCACACCACCCTGCTCTCTCTCTCTCTCTCTCTCTCTCTCTCTCTCTCTCTCCCCCCCCCACCCCCACCCATAAAAACAGCTGGATGGTCTAACGCACGGCTAGATGTGTGCACCGTACACCGCCGTGGGTTTGAGCCGCCAGCAGAGGATTCGTGTGCCTTACCCTCTCCATGATCGACAGAGAAAGGACATAAACGCGCATCGCTGGCCGGTTCACTCCATCAGAGCATCTGAGAGACGGAGGCTGCAGCTTATCCCCGTTACAGCCCGGTTACCAGCCTGCCCCATCCCCTCCCTCCCTCTGCTGTGGGAGCGACGGCTGAAGGGCTCAGCCGCTGCGTCAAGCCTCACGCAGGAAACGCAGGCGGCATCCGGCCACGACTTTCAGAATAAAATAAGGGGCAAAGCTGGTCGATGGCCAAGGGTGCCACAGCTGGGATGTATGAGTGTGTTAAGTGCCTATACACAGCAGGTGAATCAATGTACTTAAGTATGTTAATAGCCTACTTACAGTTCTTTAAAAACTAATTTTCCTCATTTCATTTATTTTCATTATGTTTCCTTTTACCCTAATTCATTTTCAGACCAACTACTTATTGTCATTTCTAATACAAACAGGATAAAACCAATACAAACAATACAAGAAATAAACAAGAAATAAGAGCGCCATACACTGTATAACCACTAATTTAAATAGAATATATATGATAGTAAGAATAAATACTAATCCTAATAAATTAATAAAAAATAAAACTGATCACACTGACTGAAGACGTACATCCAAATCAACACACAGTTATGTGTAAGTATTTAGTATACATAATTACATTTTATTTTATGTCTGCATCTGCCAGTGGGCCATCACAATAAGAGCAGGCACAATAATAGGTTGAAAAAATATGTGATTATATCGGTATCTCCATATTGGATAATAATATCAGCAAAAATCCAATATCATGCATCCCTGTTATTATTGTTATTTATAGCATTAACCTTTTAGCATAGCCTTAAGGGAATAGCACCCAGCCTGTGACAGCACATAATGTACGAGCATCTGACACAAAAAACCCAGAATCTTGATAAAAATCTGTAATAAACATCCAGTTGGATATTTTTATTAGATTTTCTTCATGTACTCTCACATTGAGAGAGTATAAAGGTGCCTGGATGAGTCAGTTTTATTTGATAAAGCACAAAGGATGAAAACATCAGCTCACAAGCTCCATGTTGTGAGACACACATGTTTTGTTTCATTTTTGTTTAGTTTTCTCTTATCTTATTATTGATAGATTAAGAGTTGTATCTCTTCAGGTGAAACTATTCAAATTAAACACTGGGAAGAGGAAGAACACTGATTTACAGGAAATGTAGGAGACACAGCCAGCAACTTACGTAATGACACACTGGTATATCAGGCCTATATTGACACCCTTATAAACATATATCTTTTGTTGAAAATGAGTAATACAGTATAATTCTGTTAAATAGTAATGTCTGATAAAATACTTTTTTTAAATTATATTTTTTTTAAAACTTTATTCTGAATACAGATAATCCTGCTTCCGGCGCGCTTCCTGATGTTTCTGTGTAACTTGACGACCTCCCATCGTTTATCTTCCCTCATCTCTCCTCCTCGGGAAGATGCTGGGTCTTAAAGAAACAAGTTTTTACCGGCTGTCTGCCTCCACATAAACGCCTCACTCTCACCTCTAACTGCGCTTTGCTGCAGTTTTCTACCTTTAAAACACAAAACTCATTAACATCACCAGAGCAGCTGTGATTGAGGTTAATTCCTCTATTTATTCTTACTGTGTGGGGTTTGAAACTTGCTAAAATAAATAAACAATTGCACCCTCTGGCGGCTCAATTAGGGAAACACAATGCACTACTGGCAGAAGGTTTTAGGCCAAATGTCTAGATTTTAGGCAACCATCATGGATTCACATTTCTTGTGAAACAGCTTTTAAAAGGTCACAATCAGCAATGAACAACTTAAAACAGACCTTTGACTTTTGTTAAAAGTTTATATTAAGGTGAGTAATCTGGGGGTCTATGAGATTTATTGTGGGGATTCAATTATTTCATTCAAATTGTATAAAATGTTTGACAGATTCATTATTAAATGACCTAATGTCAGAAGTCTGTCAGTGCAAATTTACCAGTCACCATCACCAGTCATGAAAGGCTCGGTCTGACAGCCAATCAGATCTAAGGGGAGGCGGGTGTTAAGCCCCAAGGTAGTGATGGAGGGATGGGGAGGAGGAGGTGTGCTGGAGGTGACGTAATGTCCTCTTCAGAGAAGCTGATGTACAGAGGAGCCACCAGTGAAACTCAAAGTGCATCCGAACTAAATCTGCAAAACCTATTTTAGAGTGATGGAGGAAGGAACAAAAAAAAAGAGAAGAAGGACAGAAAGGAAGGAAGGAAGGAAGAGGAAAGTCTGGGATAACAAATAACAGGAGGAGGCACCATTTTCGAGAAGGCAAGGTGCCTGTGCAAACTCAATTTACAGTTCAGAGGAAACTCTTTTTTGCAGCATGAAAATATGTTACAGAGATCTTCCTATGCTACATTACATTACTACATTCAGTGCTCAATTTCAAAGTCCATACAATTGTGCATGTGGCATTGAAGTTATTAGGAAACAAAAATAATAGTCACATAGGTGATATCAAAAGAAAATGACGGATAGAATGAATGCAAAATAAGAAACAAATAAATAACAATAATAATGATGCTGATAGTAAAACAAAATGAGTTGAGCATGAAAATATAAAACATAAACACAATGTTATGATAACTGAAGTGCATTAAAGTATTTGTCACTGTTGAGCTGTAGTGATAGTGTAATAGTGATAATTGTCAGCTTGAAGAGAATCAAACAGTCCGACATTGTAAATACGGCCATTAAAATAATCTGAAAGTGCTGCTGGCTTCTGATTTGACGCTTCCTTTATGTTTCTCCTGGTGCAGTCTGTTTATTTATTGTACTATTATACTATATTGGACTGTGTTAAAGCAGCCTGAGAGATGAGTCAATAACTAAGAAGCCCACCAGTTTTTTCTGACTAACTGATCTGAAGACAAGTCAACCTCAAATGACAACTTCATCTGTAAAATAATAAAAAGAGACATGAGTGATGAACTCTTTAACTTACTATGTATCTAGTATAAGTATCTATATCCCTATCATGGAATAATACTCCATTAAAAGTACAAATCCTGCTTTTAAATTTGACTTAAGTTGAACCGTTGTTGCTGTAAAATCTGAAATATCAAAAGTAAAAAGTGAAGAAAGATTCTTTTAACTGTGTTAAATTATAGTTTTATAGTGCAAGCACTGATACTGCAACTTATTGTTGATCATATTATAAGTTGCTGACTACTTTAAACTCTAACAGACTGTGTTTTGCACATAAGAAGTCTCTGAAAAATAACCAGGAACTGCAATTTCAAGAAAGATTTGTGGGAGAACAAGTATAATAATTCCAGTCAAGCAGATTTAGAGGGGTGACATGGAGGCTTTAATGGATTGCAGAAATATATGCAATACATGCTGCCCAAATTAAGACATTTTAACTCAACAACATTACCATATTGTGTAATATTATGAGGGAAGCATTGAATAAAATTATCTAAAGGGGGCATTATAACTCAACAAATCTTCAATATACACTATTTTTTCATTCTTCATTGATTCTTTTTTCACTTATCCTAAAATGTGGCCATATCAGATGCGTGCCACCCCTCTAGATCCATCTCACAACATGGAAGTCCTCAAGTAAAGTATCAGTATTACCATGTATCTGAGCAAAGGTACCTTTATAACAGCCCTGAGCGCAGTACACACAGACGATCACACTGCATCATGATGTCCTAACAGACTCGCTGACAGTGTGTTGACAGCTTCAGTGCCACCTCTGGCCAGAAACAGTTGGATGAAATGCCGGAGCGGGTGTGGATGATGCTCTCTGCAGACCAACAGACACGAAACAACACAGGCCTGTTAAAGTTCCCACAGGGAGCAGAAGCAGACTCACAGTTTCACAGAAAATCACATCTTCAGACACAATCCTGCAACATCGTGCTTGTTTTCTTTTGCTTTCATTGATTCAAATGTATACTTCAGCTTCGGGGTGTTCCAGTATACCGGTATTGACAAGATCAGTGATATTTAAAAAATAATATATGCTGATATCATGTTAATAATATACATATATAAACATATACTCGCTTTCTGGTTCCCACTCAGTGTAACTGTTCTTTTTCTATACTTTTCTACAGTTTGTCTCTCTCTTCACCTCCCTACACTCAAATTCTGAGTGTAATTAATTTGCCAAGAAGAGACCAAACTTAAAATAAAAGTTAAAGATGAATCTGACTCCAGAAGAAGCATTTTTCTTTCAAATGTTCTATTATATATAATATATATATAATCGTTATCATGTGTTCATTTACAATCATACTCTTACTGGCTTTTGCATACAGACAGCCTAATAATGTATCTCTGCATACTGTTTGACACTTAACTAGCAACAGAATAAAAGTACAATGGTTTACCTGTTTTGCATTTGTGCTAAAACTCGAGAGTATTGCTGTTGATATTAACTGACAGGGGCTAGAAAATATCAACACATGGTTTGTGCATCTTCACCGTCATGGAGGAACAACTATAGTTGCTTCTATATCCACAAAGACAGAATATTTCAAAAATAAAAGTGTGGCATTGCAGTGGTTCCCAACGTGGGGGTCACCAAAGCTTCACAGGGGGTCGCGAGGCCTTCTTGGTTTTAAAACCTTTAAATTAAACACAGCAGGCTTTTTTCTCATTTCATCATCGGGGAAAGCTCGCTGTTAAAACAACCAAAGACCTAATAGAATAATGGCCAAGCATCAGGGAGAAGAAAACACTGACTATATAAAAAAGGAAGCCTATTAAGCATGTATGATATTAAAAACAATAAAGAAATACATAGTACAGAGAGAGAATTATATTAAAAGTTCCTAGAAATATCAGGAAAACGTATCTCTGATGCAATAATAACAGGAAATAATCTGCTCAAAATTCACCCAAAATGCTCATTTTAGACTAACAAAGTTACTGCATGCACTATTTGGATTCATTGTACAGTTTAGCAGTTGCTCTGTACTGTTATTGACTATAATATGAAATAATTCAGTCAGGGGTTATCAGTTTACTCAATGAAAGAAAAGGGGTTGGGAACCATTGCTTCACAGAGCTCTAGAGGTTGCATCATAATAAACACTGGCAGCTTCCTTAAGACATCTTTATTTGGCTGATATGACA